ATTAAAAAAAATTAAAACTCTACAAAAATGTCAAAAAAAAAAGAAGAAAAACAATGCTTTTTTAAAGAAAATGTCTATTTTAATCAATTTCAAAAATATAAAATTTTTTTTGTAATAATTAAACTTTAACAGAATAAAATTAAAAAAAATTAAAACTCTACAAAAATGTCAAAAAAAAAAGAAGAAAAACAATGCTTTTTTAAAGAAAATGTCTATTTTAATCAATTTCAAAATTAAAAGATCTTTTATAAAATATTTTACCAAACAACTTTTTACTCTGCAAGTATTTTTATAAAAAATTTTACCAAACACTTTTAATTTCTCAAAAACAACCCTTCGACGATAGATTCTTTATAAGAAAACTTCTATTGAAAGCTCCAACCACACCAAACGGACTCTAATGCAGTAATGGGTTAAAAGTTAAAACAAAAACAAGCAGTGGGACCCTAGCCGCCGCTCCCCTCCACCCTCTTGTTCTAATCCTTTCTTTCTTTTTTGATTCTTTGTTTATCTCTCTTTTTTTTTTTTATGATTTTATTTTATTTTTAGTTTTTTCATTTGGAAAGGATTCTTCCTCCTTTAAGGCTAACTTATGTGGGGGTTCATCTTTTCGAGTGTAGTCTATATGTGTTTCATCATTATTTTATATCATTTTCATTGAAGGTTCAGAGCAATAGGGGTGGTTAATGTGAGTTTTGTTGCTTTAAAATACTTTTAACACATCTCAATAATTACCTTTTCATTTTTTGGTCTTGTTAGATTATGCTAACTTATGACGTCATTCTTAGATTAAGAACCAAGTTAAGATATAATATTTATGCAATCATTAGATTACTTTTTTATCATATGTTTAATTAAGTGTTTTACATTTTTAAAGTTAAATTTTATAATATCTCTATTATTTTACTTTGTATAGGTTGACTTGTTATTCTTATACTATTGTATTATTAATGAATGAATTTATTTTTAATAAAAAAACTTGAAACGAAAGGACATCTTACTAAATATGTTTATTTGTTGGCAAAAACCCATATTAAGCTCCTCAATTTTTTCAACAGCTAGTGATAAGCCCTTGAACGCCACGTAAGGAGCAAATTAGCCCTTCCACTAACTGAGCTCTGTCACGCCGTTAGTGTAATGGCTTGCATGGCATTTGACATCCAACTGGCTCCAACGTGGCTCCAACGTGGCATTAATGGATCAATTAAATACAAATCCCCACCAAATCCCTACCATCGAGAAGACAAATGTTGCAACAGAGAAGACAAAGGAGATGACAAATGTAGCGATGGGAAAGACCAGTGAGATGACAGAATCGGCAAAGGAAATGGGTATTGCAGCAACTGAGAAGGCCGGTGATATTATTGGTACGGCAAAGGACAGAGCATCACAGAGAGCTGAAGAAGCAAAGCAGGCAGCCAAGGACAAGATGAGG